CTTATTCTATGTATGACCGTGCTCACTTCTTTTTGTATCCAGCAGTAAATCAGTGGATTAACAAGCGAGTTTGATATGGCTTATGTTCGCATGAATAGTTCGTTGACGGGGAAATATCATAAATGCCTGTAATTTAAACGAAGACACAGAAATTAACTGGAAGAAGGCAAAAAGAGCAACCCAACTACAAGCACAATTGTCTTAAGTGCCTTGCTCTCTTTGGTAAGTCTTTCTTCGCCTTCTTGGAGCAGTTTAGAGTGCATGTGCTACCGCTTGGCTTTTCCTTGCGCGTGAATTAGACTCGAAATTCTTAATTGTATTATTCATGTGCATGAAGCTGTTGATTGTGTTGGAATCATAAAATATATAAGTTTGGTTAGACGAGGAAAAGATTAAATACACTGTAAAATTAAAAGAGTTGATTTGGCCCCAAAAATGGGGCCAAAACGAGTGAGTCCAGTTTGGCACTTGCTTAGGGTCAATTCGGCCCCATTGAAATGGGGCTGTTTTTGGCACCAATTTTGGGGCTGAATTGACCCCGTTGTAGGGGCCAAATTGGACCATGTGAAGGGTGAATTTGAAAAATACAGGGGCCACTTTGAAATTTATAGGGGCCAAAACAGCCCCCGAAATTTCAGCCCTCTCACAAATGGCCCCTTTAAAAAGAGCCAATTCAGCTCCAATGTGGGCCACTTCAGAAGTAGAGGGCTCTTTCCTCTCCATGCTGATTTTCCCCCTTACATTCAAATAATGAAAATACACCACATACTTTATCTTTCAAACACTCATTTATTAGGTTCTAGATATTGTTTATGTAAAAACCTTTTATGCTACCTGATTTTACAGTTATTAAGAATCTTAATTGTGGTATAAAACAGACAAACTTTGAAACATCATGTGAAAGAATATAACATACATACATATTTAACATTAATTCAACCATTTTCTAAAATAGATCTCTTCCCTAAATCAATATACTTCTTAACAGTGCAAGCATTGCAAGAAATTACACCCAAGAGACACTTGTGAGTAAAGCTTCCCTTTTCAATGACTTAGCAAATGTGGTAATGTAAAGCAGCTTATCATTAAGACTGATTTAAAGTACAGAAAATTATCAAAATAAGACAGAGGCAACAAATGGTCCAGTTCCTGCACAAGAATATAGATCTTGTTTGATTTGTGCATATGAAAAACAAAGAGCCTCAGAGCAGCAAAGAGTATTCTTCCAGTGGGTGTGAGAATACATGCACTCATATTGCTACTTTAGATATTATCAAAATATAAACTATCAGCTAGTACTACCACAGGCATTTGCCAAGTCATTGAAAATAGAGGAAACAGTGACAAGAGTCTGCCTGTGCCCAATTTCAAGCAATGCTTGCTCTAAAAAAAAAGTCAAAATTGCCTTTGACCGATTGTAAGAAAATATAAATGAGCCAAGTAACCCAATGAGAGCATCAAGAATCTTTTCTTGTGAGAAGTGACAAATTACACTTCCCTCTGTTACTATATTCAGGTGATTGATGTATTGAAGATCTCCAACAATTAAAATTTGTGCTGGACATAATCTCTGATTGCTGAATCAACATCAGCTACTCTATACAATAAAAACAAGTTTTAAAACCACATTAAAATCAAGCCAAAGTGCAAAAAGTGCCTGTAGCCAGAAGAATATATATATACACACTTAAGTTAAAGAATTAAAGAGGACGCATCAATTCTCTGTGACTGAGTTTTGTGCCTAAGTGCTTGTCAGACAGAAAAGTTCTGTCTGACATTTTGCAACTTTTTAGTTTAAGGCAAGAGATTCATCACCACAAAATTGTCTCTCTTCACTGCAAACAGAAGAGGTGAAGCAATAGATTTTTAGACCATACCAATCCATTCAGTTTCCAAGTCAACTTAGTCTAGTATCCTGCTAACCATACAAGGATACTATGCAATAATTTTTTTTTTTTAATCCACTGTTGCTCAGAGTACTTTAGGCTGCTAATGAGATATCCCTTCTGGGTATCCAACTCTACTGAGGCAGAGAACTGTACAAAAAAACAAACAAATGAGCAAATTAATTTGTTGTTGGAGAGCAGTAAATTTTTGCAACTACAAAGTTGCAAAATATTTGTAAGCAAACTGTGCATAGGAAGTAAAAACACACTAATGGTGATCATCAATGATGTATTTTCACCAAACTGTTTATGTACTTATCAAGAAAAGAAATCATACCTCTATGCACTTCAGTTTTAGTTCAGTATTCATGAATAAATAAGGATTGCTTGTAGACTTAAAAAACAAAACAAAGAAAAGTTTCTTACCCTCGATGGTAGTTGGAATTTTGAAAGCCATTCAGGAGGAACCTGTAGGTAAATATTTGTTTTCAAAAAAATTAAACTGTCTGATAACATCCTATCAATTCACTAATTTTTTAATTTACCAGATTTAAAAATTGGGTTTACTTTGTTTTATGCATGGTGCAAGTAAATACATATCTAATATATTTCAATAAAAATAAAGCAAATCTCGCCATTTTTGTAGGTGCAATCCCGAGATAGATTTGTCATCTTTAACTGATCAACTGGCACCTTGTGTGTTTTCCTTTAGGATATAATCGAAAGAAAGTAATCGATAATGTACTCTTCACCATCCTGCTAAGTTTAATATACAAGAACTTACTTAGACAGTGCTCAGTTCTGTCGCCTTGTCCGTAAAACAGAGATCCTTGGGCGATTTACCCTTTTCTTTCGGTGCCAATGTCACCTCTAAATTTTCATAATCGCTGATGTTATCTGAATCATCAATCGACGTTTGAACCGTCTTACTCGAAGGACTTGATTCTGCACGCTGAAAGAGTGAGAGCCAAAAAATCAGCTTAAGTGGATGCAAACAAAGACATAGACATAAAAATATCAGTTCATCTTTTCAAGAAAAAGATTAAGAATTTAGAGTGGGAGATCCTAAAATCAGAGAATCTTGAAATAAGTTAAATCCATCTTGTGCAAATGCAGTATTCGAACTGTAACCGTCTCTATCTCTCGCCGCCAAAATTTGATCACGTGACTTTAGTTGCGAAACCGCTGAGACTCAACAAGACTCGGGAGAAGAGGCGAACCATTCATGCGTCAAATTCTCTGGTGGGAAAATTAATTATCGTACCGACGAAGAACTCGTGTCATCTCTAGGTTCAGCGTTCATTGCAATCAATTTCTTGAGCTTTAGACGCTCTTTTATAATAGGGATGTAGTGCCTTGGTACGTCTGCATCTTGGGCGATGGCAAGGAGATCTTGGCCATCGCAACCTTCTTTTTCTGCAAGATAAGATACGAACAAAGATCAATGGAGCGGTCAAGTTTGTGAATGTAAAGTTGCAGTAAAATACGTTGTTAAGAAATTTCTTTTGCCTACCTTTCCTTTCTTAAGTCTCATTCCATGCGACTGTAGCCAAGAAACAGCCTCTTCAGTGACGAATTCGCTGCTATAATTCATTATTGTTTCCGACGCACGTGGTCTAGGTTTGACTAATGCCATCACAGGCAGCTCACACTCACGTCTCGAGAAAAAGCCAACAATTAATTCGTTGTGTGACTCGGTGTTCAGTTACGAGAGGAACACTTTATAAGGAATAGTATAGGGAACGAAATATGGTCGAAAAAAGAAAATTATTTTTATATTTTCTTTTTTTTTCAAAAATTGCACCTCGTTGGGGCCAAATTGGTCAATCCTACTTGGCTCTTGGAAGGGCCAAATTGAGAAAAAGTTCCAAAGTAGAATTCATAGGGGCCAATTCAGATTTTGGAGGGGTCGAAATGGTACCTGTCCCGCCCGTTTTGGCTCAAATAGTCCAAAACGAACCTTGATGGGCCAAACTGGCCCTCGAGAAATTGGGGCCAATTTGGCTTTTGGGGTCAATTTGGCTCTTTTCATTTTACAGTGTAGGGAAAAGAAAACCCAAAGAGCTGTGTGAGGGAAAATCACTTTCTCACTGTAGTAAATCTACTATACATCCTGGATTCACCATGAGTAATGAAAATGTACACCGTGATGAATTTGATTTACAGTTCAACAAAATTAGTGGGATTAAGTGGATTGTTTTTGTAAACAATTTAATCCTCAGTCATGGTATCAAAAGCCGGTCTTGTTTTCCTTGTATTGTTTGATCTTAAGTATAATATTGCATGATCGTTCTCGAACTTCGGTGAAATTACTGATACCCAGTTTATTTCTGAATCTGGTTTTATCTCTGACATAGCCGAAAATTAAGAGATTATAAACTCGCGTAAAATATCTTTCTTTCTGATGAAGTAAGCGAAAGCAAGAAACAAAAAACATGAAATGGGGAGAAGGCGAGACCAGTTAATGCGTCAGTAACCGCTAAAAAGGCCGACAAAGTGTTGTTGTTCATAGCCGATGTGTTGTATTCACAGTTTTTATCACAACTACGTTACACGGCACAAAAATCCTCGTTCAACGTTAATTTTCCGAAATAGTGAAAGACTGAAAAATTCAACATTATATTAACATTTTCTGATATCTGAAAGCGGATGGCAGATTCACTGTTCACCCTCAGTAAAACTCAAGTGATTGACAAAGATTTTTTTGGTAGAATTTCCAGATACTGCCAAACGTATTTTTACAAGCCCGAAATGGTTTCAGTCCACGAGGGCTTGATTCAAAAGAATATCAACTGTTGACATTTTCTTGCTTGATTAGAATTGTACATAACTAGAAATAAAGCTGGATTCCCTGCTCACATTGATGTATGTTCTCAATTCAAGATTTTTTTCTTTGTCCATCACTCGATAAATGTTTCGTGTTTTTTAGGCTGATTATATTAGTTTTGGCACGTTAGATGAGATTTGTGTTTAATTAAAAACGTGTATACCAATTCATTTGAAATTTAGTTTGGTTCGGTGCCATGGGCTTTAAGACAAGTATTTTTACCACGGTTTCTTCACTGCCATTTATGCGTGAATCACGGTGAGTTTACTGGTCGCTTTTTTACACTAATGAACGATAACACTGGCCACCAAAAGTATTCTGTACTATTGTCTAAGAAGAAGTGGGCAGGTTTATCAAAGAGAACAGAGCTCCTCAAATAACTGTGTTTGTAGTTGGTGCTGTTGTTGTTTACCTTCTTCCACTTTGTTTCTGTCTTATCGTTACTGCTTCAGACCTTTATGATATTTGCCCTATCAGAAAAACATCGATGTTGACATGTGCCATGGTAAACTCACTTGTTAATCCACTGAATTACTGCTGGAGACAAAAAGAAATGAGAAAGGTGATATCTAAAGTAAGAACACAGGCTGTCCCTCCAGACATCCAGTGAACGAGAATAAGGTGTGCGAGTGAAAAAATTGGTAACTTCAAGTCTAACTTTTGCTTCAGACTTTCGAAGGCACTTTTCTCGCCATCCATGCTAATTATTTTTGTTTTGTTTTGTTTTTTTTTCTAATAATGTTTTTTTTTCAATGGAAAGCTTTGAGAGCTCCCATCATTCACCACGTTCCACTAGTGGTAGTTAGTAATCAAAGGCTCCTCGGGGCTACATCATGGGAATGTCTTACTAATTAATAGAGTGGTGAAAACTGTAAGTCTTTGCCATCTTCTTCCAATAACACGTTATGTACCCACCAGTTGATAATGGCCTTTGAAAGCGTTAGCTAGAGCGCTAAAACTTGAGGCAACATTTTACCATTCGCTTCATAGAAAAGACACATGATGAGGTCCCAAGACGACAATTATTCAAAAGGCGGATAAATTGACGGCAGTGGCAAAAATATCGGAAAATGATAGCCAATTCAATCTGTAACCAAGCAAGTTATATGAATTAACCGCGCGTTAAATTCTGACTAAGAATCACAAGGAGGTGGGAGGGTAATAGCTCATAAGGTGATTGCGTATCAAAAGGAAAGGTGAAATCAAATAAAATCTGTAAAACCTTAAAACATGGCAAATAAGCGGCCAAATTTTGTAACATATAGCCAAAACATATACACGAAATCACCTTGAAGAAAGAAAATAAAATCGCTTAAAAAAGGTCAAATCAGACTAAATTTTTACTTCAAAACCTCAAAACACCGTAACTCCCCGCTAAGTGCAAACTATGTGTATCATAAATAGAATAAGACAGATAAATAGTTTTGAGCTCAGTGAAGAAATAGAGAAAGATGTCTTTCGTCTTTTCACGAGCGTGGGACAAAGAAACAATTCTGAGTCCCCATGAGTAATCGGACTAAAGGCCATCGGATTTCGCGCTCCGATGCTCTTCCGCTGAGCCACAGGGACTCGATGGTGAGCAAGGCCCATTACGAAGTTCATATATGACACGCATCCTGTGGTTACTGCTAGGATAAGCGATGTCGTTAGCGTCATGTTTGTTAATAGAATAAGACAGATGGGAAGTTTTTAGCTCGGTAAAGAAATAGAGAAAGTTGTCTTCCGCCTTGTCACCAGCGTGGGACAAAGAAACAAATCTGAGTCCCTGTAAGGAATTCGAAGGTCTAACGTTCGACTCAGAATTTTTCTTTGTATCACGCACGTGATAAGACGAAAACATATTTCCCCATGTGTATCATATAGCTATGTGGCAGCCCAATAGGTATTTGGCGCGACAAAACATTTCCATACCTATCGTTGGGACTTTGAAGCCGTTTCTTCTGCACAATTTCTCCTTGTTCGCGAGGTCTGCAAAGGTTATTTTGTTCAAGTATGGAACAAAAAGAAGGAAAAACCACATTGATGATTATAGCGTACGGTCCGACAGAATATTTCCATATCAATCGTTGGGACAGTTTTCATTTTGATTTAAAGACTTCGAAGCCCTTTCTTCCCAATTGCGTATCCTCATGCATATTTCCTCTTCATTTGTAAGGACTACACGGGTGTATTTTTATCAAGGATGGGGTGAAAAAAAAAAGAAAAAACCAGCCAGTCCGAAGATAGACGCCACTTTGAATAATGTTGATAACTCCATGTATTTAGGCAAAAATCGGCCTTTTTATCACAGCTTCCTAGTCTCTCTGATTAGGCGGCTTTTGGTGATTCCGATTCAGTTTTTTCCTATATTTTAGATGGGCTGACAAGTGAAATGATGAGTCATTCCCAGGAAATGCCACTCTCTATCAAAGGCATCTGATTTCCCTCGCCTTTTCCTTCCTCCGTTTTCATGCGGAATTGAATGTGACTTCCATTAAGCTTTCATTCGACATGATAAACCTTTCCTTGCCTAATTTTATAAATACAATAAAAATAACCAGTAGAGAAAGCTTCACGGTAGACGTTCCATTTGTGATCGGTTCAATCTTACGCTTGTTTGTTTATTTCTTAATCTCATGAAAGGAAATGTTTTTGCTTCGCGGTTTTGATAAATTAGCCTTTTAAACTTTTTGATCTCACGTTGAATGTTTACAACTGTGTGAATCTTTACAGAACATCAAGGATTACACTAGTTTAGGGCATTAAAGAAATGTTTCGAATTTAATCATAACCATAACAAATTCCTCAAATATCATTGGTGCATATGCATCTTCATTTTGTAGCATTGAAAGTAACCAGAGGTTTTATGATAATGCTATAAGGTACTTTGCGGAAGATTTGTCTTGCATACTTATGAGGGCTCTGCTCCACAAAAGAAATATGATTCAATAACGTAGTGAATAATTGGCACTCAACCACTCTTTAAATGGTAACAAATGATCACACTAATAATAACAATAATAATAATGATGACAACAAAAGTCACAGTAATGATAACTTATAGGGGCTAACTCAGAACCTCACTGTTCTCTGTCGGTATATCCTTGGGTTTCAATGATGTTTAAACTAGCCTCTATTTAATTTTGATTTGCTAGTTAATTATATATATTTCTCTAATTTCATTGTAATTGCGAGACTTTTGTTTTATACTGCCATTCCATCATTCCATGGAATGCCATTACCTTGTTGAACTCAACGTATCGTATTTCGGACCTCGCTCGCTTCGCAAATTTAGCAGCTTTTTTGAGCATTTGTCGCTGATTGCAGAGGTAAAATGATCACTTTGCGAATAAGAATATTTTTCTTCAAAGTTTCTGCGATGTGCAGATCAAACCTATATAGATATTTCTGCAAGGAAAAGTCTTTTTTCCAATTACTTGCCGGAGACGCCACTTAATTATTTTGCGATGTTTATCATCTATTGTACTGTCACGGTTAGCGCTGAAAAAATTATATATTCGAATCTACTGTAAAAATCTTTCCTCTCGATTTTCATGATGCGCGATCACTCCTTTTAAGACATTTCTGCAAGGTAAACCTTTCTTTTTTCACACGCCATTCTAAAATGATTGTGAGATGTTTTTCTTGTTTTTTTCAGTACACTACGGGACAACAGTGAGTAGCACCGAACTTATGTACTACATAAATTGTGAATAACTCATTCATTTTTTTGTCGCCACTTTGATCTTTATCTTCCACTGGGGAAATCTACATGTTGTTAATGGATCACCGATCGTGATCAAAAATGAAACGGTGACGAAAAAATAGCTAAAGACTTTTGTTCATCCAGTGGCTTAAAATAGCCAAAGCAGTCAAACATTTCTTTTACATTGCCCTCCTTCACTGGATACCTGTATCCACGACATGCGTTCTCGATCTAAATATGAACTTCCTCATTTCTTTTTGTCTCCAGCAGTAAATCAGTGGATTAACAAGTGAGTTTAACATGGCACACGTTTGCGTCAAAGTTTTGGGAATGGGGCAAATATCACAAAGGCCTGTAGCAGTAACGATAAGACAGAAACAAAGTGGCAGAAGGCAAACAACAACAGCACCAATTACAAACACAGTTGTTTTAAGCACCTTGTTCTCTCTGGTAAATCTTTCCACTTCTTGTTGGGGCAATTGTTGAGTTTTAATCTTTTCTTGTTGAAGACGTGTTTCTCGATACATAACGAAGTAGGCGAAAGCAATGAAAAGAATACACGAAAAGATGAAAAGGCCAGACAAAGAACGTAAAACTAAGGACATTTTTAGAACTCTAAAAACCCCACTGATAAAAGCAAGGATCCAAGCTACTAACACTGCTCTCTTCATTTTTTCATCATTTACAATGTTTGGGTATTGCATCGTAAATTTGATCGCAAGGAGTCTCTCGAGAGTAACCAACATCAGATGAAAGTATGAAGCTGTTACATACACAATTACAGCTGTGGCATAACAATTTTCAACTGTTCCGCTATCACTGAGACCGAATATTTGGAAAATCTTCCACAGGACAAACAATGGTTGGCCAAAGAGTCCAGTTAAGGCGTCAGTCACCGCTAAACAGGCCAGCAAGATGTTGCTGTTGGTACGGAGTCGAGGCGTCGACTTTACAGCTTTTATCACCAGTAGATTGAGTATAACTGTGAAGGGACAAGTGATGGTGTTGATGATGATTACATTTATAGCACCAGCCACCGAAGGGCCATCTGCTTTGTCGCCTTCTCTACTGGTTATATTTGTAACATTTGTAGAATTAGCCAAGGAGAAGTTTGCCATGTTAGATTCGACTCTTACTCCAAATAAACTAGGTTTGTCGTAAAACACTGTTTCTTTCAGACGTTTAACCTCGCATGAAATCGGCGGAAGATAAAAGCAGAAGAAATCTGACTTTTCTTTTGTAATAATTTCAAAATCGCCTGGGAATGAGTACTCCGTCCACATGTGCACAGGAACAATAGAGAACAAAGCAAATCGGAAACGCAAAACTATAAACGAAAACTGACTGCCTAACACAAGGTGACCACTTTGTACGGTTCCGCTTAATACAGAGTAGAATTAAGAAATAACAATTCAGTTCAATAATGATCTTAAGCAAATGCTCTTTATCAAATTCGAATTCATGATTACAAGCATCAGGATTGACCAGAGAGAAAAAGTTTAAACGTGGAATTTACCCCTATTCTTGGCCAACCTGTAAAATATTAATCTTTCTCTGGTGTTACATCGTTCATCTTTATTCGTTTCATTTAGCCTTTTCCTTTAATCGCATCAAACTAACACTTTGTAATACTCAGTAAAATATAAAAAACGTTGCCACGATGTGCAGATCAAACCTATTTAGATATTTCTGCAAGGAAAGTCTTTTTTTCTATAACGTATCGGAGAAGCTTCTGTGAAATTATTTTGTGATGTTCATCATTTATTGTAGTGTCACAGTGAGAATTAAAAACATTTATATCTTCGGATCTATTGGGATTAACTCGCTGATTTAAACTGTAATATACTCCCTCTTTAAAGAAAAAGTTTTACCTCTAAATTTTTTATGATGAGCAGATCACTCTATTCAAGTCATTTCTGCAAGATAAAGCTTTTTCTTTTTCACTTGCCATTCTGAAATGATTGTGGGATGTTCATCGTCTTCAGTAGTACACTACAAGACAAACAGTAAGTAGCACCGAAAAACAGTTTGAACATCTGCTAATATTCCGTGTAACATTCGAAACATTTTTAAGAAATCGTCACCAATTGAGCGTTGAAAGACCAAAGATGTTCTGAAACAAACAAGAGCCAAAAGCTAGGAATATCGTCTAAAACTCGGCAGACTTCTTTGTAGACGAAGAGGTCGTTCGTATTCTATTGCATTCGTATTGTATTCGTATTCTCAATCACTCAACAGATCAACATTATGGCTTCGCCTCCATAGGAAGCAATGGCCATAAAAATTAAGTCAAATGATTTGCTTTTTCAAAATCATTTGTACAGCAAGCAATGAGTCAAGTGGATAAGGGCCTAAGTGATCGATGCGCTTCACTTTTATGTGCACGTGTTCCCATTTGACTTTTCCTCGCGCATAAATTACAGCAGTTGAAATTTATATAATCGATAATTATGTTTATGGCCATGTCCACACATATCTGGATATTTTTCAATCTGCAACTTTTTCAATGCATATTTACAAAAAAATTCGCGTCCGCAAATACCCCAATCGAATCGTTTTAGTCTGTCCTCACCTGCCCGATATGTATCTGGATAAATTAACGCTTTTTTTCAACAGAGCATGCGCACTATCAAGAAACTTGAGCCTGCAATAAATATAAGCGGTATTTGTGTTTGTTAAGTTGAAGTTTCAACACGTGTCGCTCGGAAGTCTAAAAAAAAAGATCTCTGTCGGCTGCCATATTGTAATGTCTCCCGCACGAAGGACTTGATGTGACATCGTTACGTCACTGTATACGTTTTCAAAAAGGTTGCAAAATCATCAACCGTATTCACTGGGTACGTGTGGCCGGAAGGCCAATCAAAAAAATTTATCTGCATACGAGTGAACGGGTTGCATGTTATTGGGAGTTAAAAATACACCTTTGGTGCTACTTGAGGAAGGTTAAATAAGCAGAATAAACGAAAAAAGTATTACATAAGAATAGGGAAAGATTAGAAAGTTGGCATGAATACTGGCAATAACCTTTTATGGGCTAATTTAAGCTGGTACAGTGAGCTAAAGACTTACTGAAGTGTACTGCATAAATTGTGGATAGCTCATTCATTTTTTTGTGGCCGCTTTGATCTTAATCTTACACTGGGGAAATATGCATGCTTTTCATAGATCACCAGTCGTGATCAAAAATTTAACGGTCAAAAAGCCAATAACCACAGAGTTTTGTTCATCCAGTGGCTTAAAAGGCGAAAGCAAAATTTCACACGTTTACTTATTAAGTTGTCAACCATTTCTTTTACATTGCCCTCCTTCACTGGATACCTGCATCCGCGACCTGCGTTCTCAATCGAAATATGACCTTCCTCATTTCTTTTTGTCTCCAGCAGTAAATCAGTGGATTAACAAGTGAGTTTAACATGGCACATGTTTGCGTCACCGGTGCAATGGTATAGCAAATATCACAAAAGCATGTAACTAAAAGAATAAGACAGAAACAAAGTGGCAGAAGACAAAAAATAACAGCACCAACTACAAACACAGTTGTTTTAAGCGCCTTGTTCTCCTTGTTAAATCTTTCCACTTCTTGTTGGGGCAATTGTTGAGTTTTAATCTTTTCTTGTTGAAGACGTGTTTCTCGATACATAACGAAGTAGGCGAAGGCAAGGAAAAGAATGCACGAAGGAGTCAGGAGGAGAGACAAAGAATGTACAACTAGGGACATTTTTAGAACTCTAAAAACCCCAAGGATAAAAGCAAGGATCCAAACTACTAACACTGCTCTCTTCATTTTTTCATCAGTTATAATGTTTGGGTACTGCATCGTAAATTTGATCGCAAGGAGTCTCTCGAGAGTAACCAGCATCAGATGAAAGTATGAAGCTGTTACAATCACAATCGCAGTTGTGGAAAAACAAATTTCAAATGTTCCACTGTCACTGAGACCGAATAATAGGAAAATCTTCCACAGGACAAACAATGGTTGGCCAAGGAGACCAGTTAGGGCGTCAGTCACCGCTAAACAGGCCAGCAAAACGTTGCTGTTGGTACGGAGTCGAGGCGTCGATTTCACAGCTTTTATCACCAATACGTTGAGTAGAACTGTGAAGGGACAAGTGATGGTGTTAATGATGATTACAATTATAGCATCAGCCACCGAAGGGCCATCTGCTGTGTCTCCTTCTCTACTGGTTGTATTTGTAATATTTGGTGAATTAGCTGAGGAGAAGTTTACCATGTTGAATTGGAAGCTTAATTCAAGTAAACTAAGTTTCTCATAAAAACTGATTCTTTCAGACGTTTGACCTCGCATGAAATCGGTGGAAGATAAAGGCAGAGGAAATCTGACGTTTCTTTTATAATGACTTAAAAATCTCCTGGGAATGAGTACTCAGTCCACATGTGCACAAGAACAATAACGAACAAAGCAAATCAGAAAAGCAAAACTGTTACCGAAAACTGACCGCTTAATACAGGGTAACCGCTTTGTATGGTCCCGCTTGATACAAGGTAGACTTAAGGAATAACAATTCAATTCAATAATGATCTTAAGCAAATGCTCTTTATCAAATTCGAATTCATGATTACAAGTACCATGGATGAACAGAGAGACGAAGCTCAAACAAGGAATTTTTTTCTATTCGTTGCCAACCCTTAAATCTTTCCCTAGTGTTATGTCTTTTTTGTTTAGTCGTCCCATTTTACCTTTTTCTTTAGTCGCATCAAACTAACATTTTGAAATATCCAGTAAAAAATTAAAAAAGGAGCGTTGCTGATTATGTAAATATAGACTAATGTATTTTATGCGCGAGAAAAAGTCAAGTGGGAACATACGCCAGCGTAAGTGGAGCGAATCGATCAAAGGGCTGTATGTAATTCAATTAAAAGAGCCTGTCACTTTCCCTTTCATGTTTTTTGGTTCAATACCTACTTGATTGAAACTAAAGATGAAAACACCCAGAAAGGATACGTATGTTAGATAAATTTCGAACGTCTGAATGGTAAGAGATTCTGTTCAGACGCTAAGCTCTTTACAGATGACCTTCGCTAAATCAAAATATCGATAGAAATGTATCCGTTATACTGGAGCTTCACCCGAGTGATGTTAGTGTTATTAGCAGCTTACCTTGCCGTCTTAATGTTGCCTTATTGTGGGAGATAAACTAATTGTTAACGTTCGATGGAAATCGGTGCCCATCATCTCCATATTCACCTATTCCAGCTCTTTTTGGATTATGTTTCCTATTCAAACATTTTTTATTAGTCCAATGAAACTTATATTTTGTGGCTTCCAAACAATAAACGCTCGTTACATAATCAGGAATTATTTTAATTTAAGCACGAGAAGAGGTCAAGTGAAACGTGCACATTGAAACGCAGGTCAGTCAAAGGGTACAGAAAACAGCTTGAAAAGTCTTACACATTGTTTCTCTGGAAAAAAATCATTGAACCTCACATCTGCCTTAATTTATTTCGTAGGAAGATGCTAAATTTATTTGAATTAACGCAGCTAGAAGTTACATATCTAATGCAATATACCCATCATGCACCCCTGAAAAACATACAGAAATTTGATTTTACAAATCTAGACGACGCCATCCCCACCCTTTCAGCAATGTCATTGCTGTAAATACTCAGTGACATTATCTCGCGATAATCCTCGCGAACTATTTCTCATTTACCAGTTAAATTTTTTCATGAGGTTGAAACACAACCTTTAATCTATTTTAAAGCTTGCCTTCATGGAATATACATGTTCGATCGGATTCACGGTAGGTACGCTCACGGATTGTCATGTAGAGGGTAAAGAGTGCGGCAAATATCAACTCGTATTTGCGTAAGCAGAGAACGTTTCGGTGAAGCCATTTTTTTCGTTGATGTAAAAACAGCCACTCCGTTTCACCAGAGTATGCCGGTTTGCATCAAAAAAATTATGGCGGGTAAACTTCCGAGTGCAGTTGTTTGTTGCTTCAAAGTATCGTTTACGATCAAATCGAAGAAAAATCATCAAATAGATTAACGACAGCTATACTCAAGGATTATCGTTTGAAAAATATAGAGTGCGGCAAATATCAGCTTATATTTGTGATGGCGGATTAGGTTTTCTCGAAGCCATTTCTTTCCTGGCTGAAAAAACTGCCTCGCCGTCTCACCCATCAGCTCTGCGTGTATTTGATTCTGTCGGAAGACGGTCCTTTCTGTTTTGGTTTAACTCATTAATATTTTGATTGGTCATCTGCTTTTTTCTGGAAATGGAGTGAAGCGCAACTAATCAGGGGGTGTTTTGTTTTTCAACAACCTCCTCGGGCAGGCGACTCATCGCCCTTCCCCCACCCCCTACCCCCCACCGTCCACTCTAATTCCAAATCAAATATGGCCGCTCGGACAAACAATGCGCTTTTAACGTTAGCTCGACCTAATAAGACACCTGCACTGCAAGCTATCATAGACCCCAATTTCAATTTTCTTTTATTCGAACCGCTCAACAAAATGCTAGCTCTGTTCAAGAAATTTATCGTTTATACCAGTACTAGAAATGAAATTAAACACATGTGAGAGAATATTAGCCATTAGTTAGCAAGTTATCATTCTATGTAAGAAAGAGATCATGCGCAAAGTATTTATTGCAAATGATTCTTAAAGGTTCATAGACAGTTTTATGCATTTCCAGCGTGATATCAAAGACCTTTGCATTAAAACAAATTTACGGATAATTTTTCAAAACCCGGCATTAACCGCAAGCTAAGCTTTCCTTTGATGTGATCAAGAAAGAAAAGAAACAAACGTAAGGAAAATCGGCCGGCTAGGATATTTATTTCGCTTATTTTCAACGGATCTATCTTAGTGAAAAAGATACGGTAATTTAGTATTATCAACTGAGTTGATAACGTAAATTGGCCACCGTAAAGACTACTGTGAGAAAAGTAGCAAACGTACCCCCAGAAAAAGACTTTGGTGAGAAAAAGACTGGGGACGCAATCAATTTGGCTTTCTTGAACCATCGAAAAACTATCATTGAGACATTACTAGCATCGAATTGATGGCAAATGCGTTGATTTTATACATGTTGAAGCGATAAAAAACATATTAAGTTAAAAATGAAGCGATCATCGTCTTGATAATTGACATGCTGCCAGTATGCCAATCTCCCTGAAAAGGGAAGTGGCTGAAAAGGCGTTACCTGAAAGGCTCTTATTACAAATAAAACATTACAAAGAACAAGACATTGCTAGCCAACAGTTGTGCAACTTGTCTGTAGTTTTCAGGAAACGATGTAAATCCGACACACTTATTGGAATTACTTGGCCTCAAGCGTCAGGAAAAGCCAAACCATATTATAACTCGATACATGACTAAGTAGGCGTTAGCAAGAAAAGAACACGCGTAATAATGAGAGGGCCTTTAAAGGAACGTGCCACTACGCACAATTTTATCTCTATTCAAACCCCATAAAAAAAAGTAGTGATCTAAACTACTAGCACTTTTAATTTTAATCGTGAAACACTGCGTCACCAAGAGAGGATAGAAATACAAAAACTGCCCCAGGTAGGAGCAGAAAGATTTACCAAAGAGGACAAGGCACTTAAAACAACTGTCTTTGTAGTTGGGGCTGTTATTGTTTACCTTCTTCCACTTTGCCTCTGTCTTATCGTCACAGCTACAGGCCTTTATGAGGGTCTGAATGGGGGTACTTCGATAACACTAAACACTTATTTTTTTTACTGTATAACATTAAACAGTTAATTTTCAGCCATTTTAACACTAACATTAAAAAATTCGTCGTAACATTATTTTTTTCCCATTAACAAACAAACCACATCCTAAAAGGGGAAATATCTATGTTGGGCCTATGTTTATTGTCTCAAAAAGGTTTTTTTGGCCATTTTCCAACAATTCAGGATTATTTCAAGACTTCCGAAGAGTGAGGAAGATATCCGAAAGCTGCCGAAGATTTCCGAAAGCTGTCGAAGATGTCTGAAGGCTGCCGAAGATGTCCGAACACTGCTGAAGATGTCCAAAGACTGCCGAAGATGTTCACTGAGACTGCCAAAGATGTCCACAGACTTATGACCGCGGATTTGAAGACTACCGCAGATTTGGCTTGTATAACTCATAACAATTCTATTCTTAAAGCGCTTTTACAGCGAGGATTCACCAACCGTGACCACTTAGAGAGAATATATTAGTAACAAATCAGATTATGATATTCAAATCAAACAGACAATGGGATAGAACATCGAAATAAACAGTAAAATTAAGCAAATTTACGGATTGCCATCCGTTGTATGAATACCTCAGTATGATTGGTTGGCTTTGTGAGATGGTCCCAGTTGGTGTATCTGCACTGTAAACAAAAAGAGATAAATACGAAAATTACAAGGAAAATGAGAGTTAACATACATGAGTGGGTAAATTTGACTAGTAATGAATGCAATAACAGAATATTCTTTTACCATTAAGATCGGCTACAGTGCTCACAATGTATAATGGTCAACAAAAATGACAGACATGTCACTCCATCCTGGCCAAAAACATTTGATTATATTCCATATCTGAATAGTCGCGATTGTCCCAACTGTTTCTAGAGATCAAGGCGGAAATGAGCGCGGGTGGTGCGACCAAATCTGCTGAACGTTATGTCTGTATCATTATCCGCATCGCTCTCCGAGTCGGTGCCGAATTCATCCTGTTGCTCGGGGAGGTCTGTCACGTCACCAACTGCGACAACTCCGAGCATGCTTTCGTCAACGAAGGTGATTCTCGGTATTTCGTTTGTAGCTCGTGGAATATTTGTATCCTGATCGACTCGTTCTTCATTGTCTGTCCCTGGATCATCTGACGGCAGGGCTCCTGCTTTGTCTTTTGTTGATTCGCTTCTTACCGTCCTTGACAGGTCGATACCTGTCAACCAATTCCTTCATGGCTGCCTCAATGTTGGGGTCAACGTTATCAGCTGGAGGAGGTTTCATCAAATCTACGTCCCGTAACTCCACACTGGATTTAGGCACTGGATAATAAGACTTCTCAAGTGTCTTGAGCATACTGAAGAGCGGTGAAAGACTCGTTTTTTAAGTGGGAGACTGCATGAAGGTTCTCCACCTGAGTTGTTAGCAGCGTACGCAGGTCAATGTCACCAAGATAGTCCTCGTTTACATTCTTAACGTTATCTCATAGCTGTTCCATACCTCTTTCGAGAAGCACCAATGACTCCTGTGTTTTGCTGGAAATAGTTCCTTCAGGGCCACTTATTGTTGCCGTTTCTTTTCATTTTGCCTTACTTCAGCGACTGTCTTTAATATAAGCATTTACAGATGAAACATTGCACACAACATCTTGAAGAGATAATTGGGCCACGTAGATCGTATGTGCACCAATTCCAAAACTATCATAGAGACATTCGAGGTTGCGAAGAAAGGACACTTTGCCAGTAAGCCCCGAAGCTAGTTTGATTGTTTCAGCAGCTATATCGGAAACAAAAAAAATTTTCTACAAGGAACAGATTGCATGAAATTGTGTAAATGAGCAGCTTTCTTCAGTTCCATCAACGGTTCCTTCATGGCCAGTACCCAACAAGGTCTCGACTGTTGCACTTAAGGGATTAAAGGTCTTAACCTTTTGATCTTTGTTGTCGGTGAAAACAATGTTGCCCTCATAACCATACAGCCTCCTGATTTCCTTACAAGAATCTGAAGAATTCCGCAAGAGTCGCTCAACATTGACAGAATCGAGGTTATAACCATATAACCCTTCAGCTGCGCTAGTTGCAGCCAAGTATGCTGATTGCCGCAGAACATAAAGAGATTCAACACTTGTCACGTCATTGGAGTAGTTTATCTGTCTCAGCCTACTACCGATGATAGCCACTCCATTGTACTCTAACTCCAGCTGCATTATGCTTCTCTGCTCATCATCTGCACATAAGAGGATATCCTTACTTACCGCACAGATGGAAGTTGATTTATTTAAAGGTGGGTTAATCTGGACAATTTGTTTATTCAGTTCTCGACTTGTGCAGCTAAAGATCTCAGATGTGTCGTCAACCGCTTCTGTAGAACTGGACCTGTACCCTCAAGTGACAATCTGAAACGACCAAGCTGCGAGAGCAAATCAGCTCGCGATTTTAGGCGTCCGGGTTTGAAAAGTACGGATTGCTGATGAGCCTCTCTCTGCAACGAAGACTACGCCATTGGTAAAGCATAGGTCCCGCGCATCCTTGAATACTTCCCTCCAAACATTTACATCGACTGGTCGGTGTAAAAGCAGTTCTACGAGACTATCGAGAGTCGAAATCGTAGTCTAACGCCAGTACTTTGCCTTGGGGCCCAATTCAAAGTGCAATTAGTCTTTTGCAAACACTAATTTGGTTGGATTTCCAGAAGCGATACTTTTCAGGAACTATTGTGTGAATTACCAAACGTATCCCCTTAAGTACATCCAGTACTGAAGGTTTAGTAAGGCGCATTATCGGTTCTAAGGAAAAGAGCATTTCAGCTTTGGCTCACTGTTCGTGAGTGATTTTCTTGATTTTCTTGCAGAATTTAAAAGAGCAGATAAAATTTGAAAATCCTTAAAAAAAACTTAGGGGTCTCCTTTCAAACACTAAACAGTATTTTTTTCAAGAACAGTAAACATTAAAAAAATGGCCAATTTAACAGTAAACACTAAAAAATATGGACAAATAACACTAAACCCCATTCAGACCCTCTGAAAAGACTGGATTTTCAACAACGATAAGGATAATAACAATGATATTGATATCCTCTGATACCACTTACAACCTTTTGAAAAGAACTTTAGCAATTACAATTTTTTTTAAAGGAAATTTAGCAGGCGCCTCCAGTTTTTCTAATTTTTGAAAACAAGACCACACTACAACGCTGGGGGAAGCGTTCCCTACTCATGACGAAAAGTGCGAGGATTCTTCACGTTCCCTGTTAACCAGTACGAAGAAGATGTAGGAGATGGGGCCTGCAGTTTATACTTCTGTTCCGAGAAGACTAAGATTGTCTAACCATTTACAAAAGTCATAGCAAAGGCAGCTCATTCTCCCCAGTCCTTTCAGGACTATGAGTGTTGGTCCGGTCCGGGGCCTGAACCCACGACCTACTGCACGGCAGTGCGGCGCTTAACAACCCAAGCAGAAGGTAGTTTAACGACTATCACATCAGCGAAAAAAATTAAAAAGTAGGATGTTTATGTCATAGTGCTATACTCCGGATTAATGAAAATGAAAACCGCAAAGATGTTTTATGAGGCCCAGTCTCAACTTGGCGTATAAATAGTGAAACAGCATAGTCACGAAATAGAAGCATGGATCATGAAATACACAATGATACACGATTTTCTGTTTCGAGTTCGATGAGCTCATATTCAGCTTCTTCAATACTGCTGGTGTTACCAAGTGCACCGTTTTGTTACACGCTTGTGGAGCAAATCACATTTTCACAGGAGTTAAGGTGAGGACAGAATAAGTTAACAGCGACCTAATGCAGTGAATGAGATAAACGGGTATTGACGAAAGATAGAAATAGAAATAATTTGAAACATGAGACAAAAGAATGAAAGAAATATCGATCTTATTCACTCGTCACGAACGCGGGATGGAAGGGGGGAGAGGAAAGAAAAACATTAACTTTCCTCTCAAGGACTCGAACCTTAGACCATTGAATTTTACGATCTGAAGTTCTCACGCATAGCTATAGATTTCTCGTTAATGAGCCACGAAGTACAGTGGATACATAAAGGATCATCCTGCATAGTGCTAAGATCATCAATGTCGAAAGTTTCATGTCTTAAAATACATAGTGAAAGAAAGGAAATTTCAAGCTCCTTCGTGACAAAGAAAAAAAGATCATTTTTAACCAACGACCGAAAAAGAATAAATCCTTTTCGTCAGATCAGGTTAAACGACAAATTAGATATCAATGCTGACATGTTGATAAACATAACAGGCCTTGAGGAAGCTTATTTATCTTCCCATGAGGAACTATGAAGCTGCAGCATTTCTGATTCCAGTATCATTTGCGTCACTTGTCTGTATGAACTATTACACAATTATTTATTTTTCATCCAAACTCAGCAGTAAATTCTCAAAGAGACAGAGAGCTAAGGCCTCAGAATTCTCTTCCGACTGAAAGATAACTGGTTCAGTAACGATTTATTCGTAAGATTCCTGTAAGACACAATGAGGATTTCTGTTCACAACGATGCATGGAATTCACAGATTAAAAAAATTCTTTAAAAAATTCACTAAAAGGGAAAGAGCTGAATTTAAATCACATAATTAATTAATCGCCACGGAGAAACATGTAAACAAGTAATAAAAGGGGTAAAAAAATCAAAAAGCAAACAAAAAAAAGCACAATAACTTCTTAAAGAAGAACAGCAATTTTGATCACGAATTTGGTCATAAGACAAGGAGAGGTCTTTTAAACTCGTGAATATGTAACCTTAGTTTTTTCATCGAAATTGTTTTAAAGCAAAATATTATTCTTGATATTTTCAGGCATGTAGAATTAACAAAAGACATCGTTTGGAGAATACAGGGATTCAGAGGATAAAAGTTTAACAGGTACAAATCAATGTTCATTGTGTAACTGATTAGAGCTTTAGAGCCTATGATATTTATAATGTACGATCGTAAATCATAATTTTGTTGCGACTGACAACAATCAAGTTTAATTTCAGTCGAATTTTCTCGGTTTATTATTGTCGGATGTGAAAATATTTCATATAGTAATAATAACGGTAGTATGGTTGTCGGTGAAATACCACTATTTTTTCAGTTTTCAAAACGTGACATCTTCATCGCACGCTGTAAGCTTACCATTTATAACTTCTTATATAAAGGTATCAAGGACGTCATTATAACCAAATTTATCAACATGATAGTTTTACTTTCCAAGTAGGCTGTTTTTTTAAATGATTTTTTTTACCTGAAGCTGAATTCAATTCTTTTTAAAGGAAATAGTTCTTGTAATGAGAAATTACTGTATTACAATGTCCGAAATTGACAAGCGAGCTGGCTTTCGGTGCAGCGGATCTCTGTATTCGATGTTCTTATTTAAAAAACTGTTTTTTAATTAAATTTACAATCAATATCTTTTGAATAAAAAGGATGATACATGTCGGTCCATGGATTCGAATTTATCTGCTTACATCGAATCATCTCTTTGAAGGTGCAAAAGATGTCATGAACACTCGATGGTAAAATTCGTATCCACGCGCGGTTATCTAATAACTCCTATATGCATGTGTATTACTAAACAAGAGAGAGCTTTAGAAGGTTGTACATCGGCCAATTTCCCTCGCTGCATTTTAAGGACCGAGACGAAGGCTTCGTCACCAAAGGATCAAAGGATGCATTACATGATAACAAAATATTTTCATGCTCTATGGAATTACCGAATGAATCTGCGAGTTTCGTTGTGATTTTTGTCTTGTTTTGTTTTGTTTTCATTTAGGACGAATTTGTGACCTGTGCTTTAGCCAAAAATACTAGGAAAGCTTTTTTTCATGTAGCAAAAATATACTGTTTAGTTATGAAATTGTACGAGGTATTCAACAGGCTACAAGCATTTCTTTTTTTCCTTTTGTGGGGAATCAATGTGGGAATGGAAGGAAAACGGGTGCCCGTTCAGAGCACAGGTTTCTTGCTCGCTCGCGGGTCCTTCCTCAAAATAATTTGGAAAAGGGCCAGCTACTTCCAGTTATTCAAAATTTCGTGGCTCCTTCAAAAACAAATTACATGTAATGGAATATTTTATTTATTAGAACTTATGAATTTGTTTAAAAAACACCTTTGTCCAGCAATTTTCGATAGCTTTGAGGGAAATTTTACACGTGCCCTTTGAAGAAGAACAGAAATCTCACACTTAGCTTCCACGGGTCGACAAACGTTATGCAATAGGCTCGCGGTGTG